AGTGAACATCCCATGGTCCTGGCATTCTCAACATCCTGGAGTTTCCATTGCAGCGTAGGCTCTACCTTTTCTAGCTTCATGCAATCACTTCAGAATCTCCTTACGGGAACTCCAGCCCTAGCATGTGTAAGATGCTTGACCCGCTCTTAAGGACCTTGCTGTAAGTCTACACAATTCCCTCACTATTGCATCTTTCATGCCTATAAAATCAGTACCACGTAGATGCTGCTACTACATTTTGCTGTCAGCTCCAGGTATGGTCTAGTTCTCTTGGACCATAGTTGCAGTCACTGCTGTTTCTGCTGACCCTTGGGTATCTCTTTAGTGAATATTTTTGAACAAGGAACCTAAGTATTCTTAGTTTAGACTCCCCCTTCCAAATTAATTTGTGATTTACAAGTTGGAGGCTTCATGGAGTAGGTTCTTGCTTAGGGCATCTTTTCTATTGTCCCATTGCAGAACATGATGTTTAATCTTTTATGGGGCTAATCTTACATACTACAGCCAATTTTGCTACACAATCTTTGTCCACAACCCCAAACTCCTTTCCTTGCTGGATTCAGAGTTTCCCTATCTTTTTTCTCTCTTTTAGTGTAGATCTGGGTAAGACAGTGATCGGTTGCCTGAATGCTCTGCTGCTTTGGAATTTCCATCGCTTTACAAAGATGTCCATCACTTTGGAATTTAGCTGCACTCCTACTTCTTATCACTTGACTCTACAGATGGTGATGAAATTCTGCTGTCCGTCCTGAGTGTTCCAGACAACTTTGGCATGGACAGACAGCAGCAGTACATACCTGGACAACTTAGAAACTTGATCAGAGTTAAGATCAGGACACAGGCAGAATGAAGCTGGAATCTTTTCCAAAAATGACTTCTAGCCTAGTTCTTCCTGAAACCTCAGGAGCTGGGACTCCTGTTTTTCTTTCCCTTGGCATTCTGGTCTCCCAAATTCCCATTAGACTGGCCTATTAACCTCTTCTCACAGTGTTTTAGAACTTCCTTATCCTGTACCTGAAAACTGTTCCACATTCCTCCAACAAACCAGTTTTAAAAGTCTATAAACCATGTGGTCATGTTTATCACAGCAAAGATTCAACTTCCTGGCACCTGTTTTCTGTATTGGCTCCGTAAAAAATGATTGTGTGTGTGTGTGTGTGTGTGTGTGTGTGTGTGTGTCTGTCTGTCTGTCTGTCTGTCTGTCTGTCTGTCTGTGTCCAGGGGGAGTTGGACAACTTTCCTGAAGTTGAAGTTACAGGCATTGCAGCCACCTGATGCAGGCACTAGGATCAAATTCCAGTCCTCTGGAAGAGCAGCAAGTGCTCTTAATTGCTAAGCCATCTCTCTAGCTCCTGTGTCAGCTACCTATAATGTTCATTGCTATGGCAAAATATCTAACAAAGGGGATTTCAAGAAGAAAGTGTTTCTTTTGGCTCACAACTTGAGGGTACAATCCAACTTGGTGGGGCAGGACTTGGCAGCAAGAGTCTGAGGCAGCTGGTCATATTGTAATAATATTCAGGAAAGAGAGAGATCAGTGCTTGCCCACAGCTCACTTCTTCCTCATGTAGCTGGAGCCTCAGGCATGGAAGGATGCATTACAGGGTGTGTGATCTCACCTCACTTAACCCTATCTAGAAATCCCCTCACAGATGGTCCCAGAGGTTTTTCTCCTAGATGATTAAATCAACTTAAATCCTGTCAAGTTGATAATATTAGTCATCATAATTATAGGCCATACTATTCTCCAACTGGCAAAGATCTTGCTGCCTCTGCCTCCTGAATGCTGGAATCTTGAGTTAAGTTTTACCTTGAATTTTTCTCTGATTATTGGAAAATGTCCTCTTCCACTAAAAAAAGGACATTTGATTTGAAATATACTTTTAATTGAAAGTGATCATGGATTCATCTCATTTATATAGGCTAAAACATTTTATTTTTACATAGTTGGAAATGTATCTAATACTGCTTCATCAACTATTCATGGAGTTTATACATTCTGAAAGGACCAAATTTCTGGTTTAATTTAATTAGCATTGGCAAGAATTTAAATATGGATGTCTTAAAAGTGAGCAGCCTTGGGAGCATAAATTATCCAGATACCAGAAAGGGAAGAAATAAAAAACCACAGCTGGCTAGGGGAATTAGAACAATGGGAAGCAAAAATAACTTGAGCTTCTAGTTTTTAATCACCTGATTCTACAGATGGTGATGAAATTCTTATGTCCTTCCTGAGTGTTCCAGTTTACACTGGACTGGAAAGACAGCAGCAGCCTGTACTTGGACGTCTTAGAGGTTTGATCAGAGTTAACATTTCAACATGATAGAGGGTAGGATTCTCATGCATGAACTTGTTGGTGGAAGGAGCACAAATGCATCATATCTCTCTTCTGCTAAACACTACCCATGTAGCATCTCATTTAATCATTTTAAAAAGATTCTGCACCCCCCCCCCGTGTGTGTGTGTGTGTGTGTGTGTGTGTGTGTGTGTGTGTGTGTGTTGCCCTTGGAAGGAGTCACATCCTCTGGAGCTCGAGTTAGAGATGGTTCTGAGGCACCTGCCATGGGTGCGGGGAACTGAACTTGGAACCTCTGCAAGCAAGTGCTTTTGACTGATAAACTATGTCTCCAGCCTTCTTTGAATCCTTTTATCTGCCTGTGGCCATACGAGCTCTTCTATCCCATTTTATAAAATAGAGAACAAGGGTCATTTTCTACCCTCCATGGCAGCATTGAAGTAGAATCTTGGAGGCTGAGCCAGCTATATTTAATGCCTTATTGTCTTTGTTCAAGTTGTTGACTGGGGAGTCTTGAGGAAAGCGCCTGACTAAAGATTATCACCACAAGGACTGATATTTATTATTGTTTTTATTCTTTAATATGGTCTCTTTAATATTACCACTAAACCTAGAGTTTCTTTTATGCTGAAGACCTGATTTTACTGGTGAATTGGAGACAGCTACCAGGCTTCTGCTTCCTGGAACCATTCTACTTGATGGGACACCACCTAGGACTGTGTCCAGATAAAGAGCAGAGGGAAGGACTGGCAGCCTGCAGATCCCAGCTACATTTTAATTTTTAAGAACAGTGTGATATTTGGTTATTTTAACAACTGCTATTCTTTGAAATGTCTGCTGACTGCTCACCCAAAATTAAGTGTGGTTTTCACTCACCAGTTTGAGAGACTACATTTGATGTACTTACCTATGTAGAGAGAGTCTTCCAAACTGAGAAGTTGTGAAAATACAACTAGGGAAAGGTATTAAACAAAACAAAACACCAAAGCAAAGCAAAGCAAAACCAAACCAAACCAAACTATAAAAGCCCGAAGCTGGAGGGTGTGGCTCAGTGGCTGACTGCTTGCCTAAATCCAGCTTTTGTTCTGTCCACTTGGCATAGTAATCAAACAGATTATAATTGTCACCATGTAAGAGAAATTGCAGCTTTTATTTGGCACCTTAGCCCAGGTGAGACACTAGACAGAGGAGGCTTAGGGAGTGAAACTGAGAACTGTTGTTAGCTCTTTGCAGTTCTTGGCTATTGGGATTCCCACATGCAAGGAGTCGGATGAAAATAGTGACTTTATACCCATTCAGGAAGATGACTTAGGTTTGTTTGTGATTATAAGATTCATTTGCAAGAAATGGCCTATTTCTCGAGGCTCAAACATTAGTTCTATGACATAAGCTGATGAAGTTTACACAGATTGGAGGTTTTTAAGCTTTGTCTCCCGCCAGTTCTATTTGTAAAGGAAGTTTAATTTGTTAGCGTGGTGCTTTGTAAAACTGGAATGCTCAGAATCGGGCAGCAAGGCCTCCCGAAGGCTTATCATTCACACAGTGCATCCAGTGTTAGCATTGTAGGTACGCTTCCAACTTCCAAAAATAGTGTCATGTTTTCTCACAAGTGAGAATACTATTAACTTGCATATTGAAGAATAGATTCGTTTTGCAGTGAGCCCGCTTCAGGGCACTCAAGTTGTTTTGATACATTTGTACTTTAAAGTTTCAGGAAGTTGAACAAAAGTATCAACTGCAAGCTATCTTCCTAAATATTTGATTTGGCTAACAGCCACACTCACTGGCCTAGTAAGGCAGTAGGGCAGGTTGTTGATGGGACAAGAAAACCTCACTGACCTATTTTCAATTTTAGGAATTGTCACGTTCCTCCCTAGCTGTATTAAGGAAAACAACAGTCTCTACTGCTAATGAGTCCCGGTCCTCTGCCTGGCACTCTTCTGATCCTTTACCTCCAATCTTCCCAAAGCCTCACAGTGTAGGTGCAATCGTTAAACCCTTCAACGAAATGGGGAAACTGAGGCACACAGAAGTTTTTAGAGTGTTCTTAAAAGCTTGCATAATGCGCTTCCTAGGTTTGGTTTCCAGAGACCCTAGTCTCAATTTTGACCCCATGAGCTCTGCAGGTTTCTTGGCTTAAAGCAACTTGAATGTGCAGAATAGTTACTTCTGTGAAATACTCAGGGTAACACTATCACCTTTAGAACGGTGGGGGATAGATGTGACAGTTCATCACTGTATTAACAGAATTAGAGTTAGAACAGACATTGGGTTCTAGCAGGCCCAAGGACAGCAAACATGGCTCTGGCAGGCCTTGCTCTTTTCCCTCATTCCCTCTGCCTTGCTGAACATTGCATTACATTGCATTACATTGCATTACATTGCATTACATTGCAATTACATTGCATTCCTAAAGCCAGCCAGTCCCTTATTTGGCACTTCCTCTTCCTGAGGCCCCCTTTTCCTCTCTCCTTTTCCCTTCTCTCTCATCCTCTATCTCCTGACTTTGTCGCTTATTCCCTGTCCTCTGTCCCTCTGGGGCAAATACATCTCCTTTGTGCTGAGAACTTGGTCTTGTGCCAATTCTGGTCCTTTCACAAAGTATATTGAAGCAAATCAACTGTCAACAGGGACTCTGCATTCAATTCTCTTTCTGGTGGTAGTGGCCAGGCCTGGCTGGCTGAGACTCGGCTCTTCACTCACCACAGTTTTTCTCATCAGCTTGGTTCCCACAGTCGTCCACACCATTGCAGTGAAGCACCTGAGGCAAGCACTTGGTGGTGTTCCCACAGGGGAAGGAACCAAGGGGACAGCTGACATTCTGTGCACTCCCAGGAGTGACTGGGGGGAGAGAGAGAGATGACATTTTGGAGAAGGTTAGTAGAAACCTAGCACCAAAGGTAGTCCCCTCTTCATAGTTCCCACACTATTATCCCTTGGTCTGGCTAGTGCAGAAACTTGGCATTTCCATCCACCATGGCTATTGCTGCTTTCCAGAGCCTCTGCCTCACTAGGATGTTCTGACTAGCTTCTTTTCCTAGGATTCTCTTGCCAGCCTCTCTTTCTTTGTCCACTGCCCCACTCCTCTATGAATGCCAAAGTGGTGGGGTTTGAACCTGCTCATGTTAGGCAAGCATTCTATCACTAAACCATGCCTCCAGCTTTCCACTAAATCATGTGTCCAGCTCTCAACTCTAGGAGTATTTCCTCAGCCCCTCTTTTTTTTCTCTTTCTTTTTCTTTTTCTTTTTTTTTTACATTTTTATTTTATTTTATTAGTTCAAATTAGGAACAAGCTTGCTTCAGATGTCAATCCCTTCTCCCTCTCCCTCCCCTCTCCCCCCAACATCCCACCTGCCCCTAGCCATCCCCCCTCCACTCCCCAGGCAGGGTAGGGCCCTCAAAAGGGGCTCCCCAAAGTCTAGGCTGAGCCTAGGCCCTTCCCCATGTGTCCAGGTCAAGAGAGCATCCCTTCACAAGGGATGGGCTCTTAAATCCCTTCTTTTTTTTTTAAGACCTTACATATTTAATAAAGTGCATTACCTCTGTACAAATGGAAAAAAAATTAAGTTCAACATTTCTAGACCAATATGGCTGTTAATTTTTGTACAATGCCAACTCAACACGGTAAACTGAGATAATTTTTTCAAAAGTTGACAGCACAGCTAAAGTTTCCAAAAATTCAAATTATATATGTATATGTATATTTATATTTATATAAAAGGACCAATAATGGCAGTATGTTATGCATCAATAGCAGCAA